AGATGATCCCTTCAGGACCAGTGGTGTGAGTGGCACTACTGGGAGCATAGAGGGAGAGTAGGTTGGAAAGGGGGAACCGATTACAATGATCTACATATAACCTCCTCCCTGGGGGAAGGGCAACAGAAATGTGGGTGAAGGGAGACGTCTAACAGTGTAAGATATGACAAAATAATAATAACTTCTAAATTGAATCAAGGGTTCATGAGGGAGGGGGAGTGGGGGAGGAGGGGGAAAATTAGGAGCTGATATCAAGGGCTCAAGCAGAAAGCAAATGTTTTGAGAATGATGAGGGCAACACATGTACAAATGTGCTTGACAGGATGGATGGATGGATGGATGGATAGATGGATGGATGGATGGATGGATGGATGGATTGTGATTAGCGTTGTATGAGCCCCCAATAAAAATGATTTAAAAAAAAAGAAAGTAAAGCCCGGAGGTTAGATGATAGTACTGCACGAATGTCAGTTTCTTAGTTTGGACAAATGTGCTATGATAAATGAAGATGTCAAACTTGGCGGAAGTTGGGTGAAGGACATACAGGAGCACTCTGTACTGCCCTTGTAGCTTTTCTGTAAAATTAAAAGCTAACTGAAAGAAAAAGAAACCCTAAGTCTTGATTTTTTAGACTATTTCAGCCTTCAAGAGCAGTCCTAGCTAATAACAATGAGTAAGGCAGAAAGGTTCTAAAATTGGTTTTAGCATTGACTGTACAACTCTTGTTAATACGACTGGATGATTAAGAGCTTTAAGAGCCCCCAAAAAGATTGTTTATAAAATATATAGATGTGACTGAATTGTATGATATATGAACTATATGTCAATGAAACTTTTAAAAAAGTCATAACCTTTGCATTTTCAATATATCAGGGATACTACCAAAAACAAACTACTCTGCCAAAGACGATTGCAGCGGTTCTCAGCCTATGGGTCGTGACCCCTTTGAGGGCCAAACAACCCTTTCACAGGGGTCTCCTGATTCATCACAGGAGCAACATGACAGTGATGAAGTAGCAACGGAAATAATGTATGGTTGTGGGGTCACCACATCATGAGGAACTGTATTAAAGGGTTGTGCCATTAGGAAGGTTGAGAACCGCTGCTCTATTGAAAGACAACCAACAGACTAGCCAGGACAAAGGACTTGTATTTGCAATATATAAAGAACTCTCAAATGCAACAATTCCGTTAGAAAACAGGCACAAGACATTTCCATAAAAAGGACAGACAGTTGGGGAATAAGCGCACAGAGATGTTCAGCATCATCCACACTGTATGCTGTGAAGGGGCAGGGGAACAGGAGCACTTCCACCTGGCTGTGGGAACTGTGAATCGGACAAGCCCCTCTGGGAGACAGGTTGGCAATTTCTCTAAAAACGTAACCAGCAATTGACATAAAACACCTTTCCTAAAGAAATGAAGACTTATGCTCACAGCAGTTTTATTTGTGAAAGTTATAAACAGGAAACCACACAGATGCGTTTCATTAGGGAAACGATTAAGGAGGTGGTAGGTATATCCATGCCATAAGTACTGCTCAGCAATAAGAATGAATCGACACTGTTCCTCCCACAACTACTTTGAGGAATCTTCAGGGAATCTTGACCACTGAAAAACGGAATCTCAAAAGGAAATAAATCCACTCATATAACATTTTTCAAATGACAAAGCTATGTTGATGGAGAACGTACTAGCGGTTGTATTAGGTAGCTAGCTTAGGGACATGCCTGCAAAGACCCCCAAAGAGGAGGTTGGAAAGAAATCAGGCAACCATTAGACACTTTGAAGACGGCAAACTGAGCATGCTCATACTCATGCTCATACCAGGAGGTACACCTGGGCAGGCCAAACAAGGCCCAGGCTTATGACATCACCCAAGTGGGCCTAACTAAGCCAATGGGTCAGCCAATACCGTTAACCATGCCTCCCCAGCCAGAGGATGGGCTAGAGTAAAGGCAAGGAGAATACCCTGGAACACTCTCTTACCCTGCTCCTGGTCTCCCTCCCATCTGAGTGCACATGCACCTGGCTCTGGGCCTACTGGGGCCCACAGCCTCTTGGCCCACATACTCTCAGCCTCTAGGGTTCTTGGGCTTCTGGCCTCTGGGGATCCCCCCAGGATGTGCACGCATGGGTGCTCTTTTCCACGTGGTTGTTCGGGCCCAGCTGTGAACCCCCTTGAGAAGGTAAAACCTGATACTTGTCCTGTCTGTCATAAAAACCCACCTGGGTTACAAAATGGGCTCCAGCATGAATTCTTTCATTGTGGGAAGCCAAGAACCAAGGTATTACCGACTCCAGAAACCTAATAGTTGCCCAGGATTAGTGATGGTGGAGCGGGAAGGAGAGTTGACTGGGACAATCAAAGGAAAATACAAAAGATCCTGTGGTGGAACTGTCCTATTATATTTTGACTGTGGTGGTGCATACATGAATCTGTGTAAATTAAATGCCATGTTCTACACAGACACAGACACACACACATTAAACTAATGAAATCTAACAAAGACCAGTGAATTGTCATTGTCAATTTCCTGATGGTGATATTGTACAAGAGTTATTACTTATACACAATGTTACACCTGGGCAAAAGGGGTGGAGGATACTTAAAGATCTCTTTATTATTTCTTGTAACTGCGTGTGAACATACAACCATGGCAAAATGTTAAAAAGACAGGAGAACAACAGTCTATCGGCCATGGGCTTACTCTTCTCACTGTGGCTTAACAAGAAATTGTGCTTCCAATCTGATAGCACTCAAGAGTACTTGGCTTGATAGAGCACCTACCTATCTTGCTAGCATATCTTGCTATCTCATGCTCGCCACCCTCATACTTTGGAAAGAAAACCCAAACACTTAACCTAGTTTCAGGAAGTACAGGCACTGGCAGAATTCTGAGCTGCACTTACCTTTGTACACTGTGCAGCAGGCAAGAGGTCAATAAACACCTTGAGGTCTGTAAAACAGCAAGGCTTATCCCCAAACTTTTTAAAATACTGAAACATTAATTCTTCTGGATCACCTAAAAGGGGTGTAGTAAAGAATTACAGAATTATTCAGCAAGACACTTTTTTTTACTTGAATTTCTCTTTATCAAGTGCATATTGATCAGTTATTATATGGAAGGAAATGTAGTAGGTACTAAAGCTGTAAGGATAAAAATCTACTTCTGTAGATTAATTAGAGAGCCTGGGTGGTGCTATCAAGGAAGACCCGTCTAATTTAAGTAAAAGGTCTGGTTTGAAAATGTTGGTTTCAATCACAGTAAATTGACATTTTGCTTGAATGCTTGCGTGAAAATGAACAGAAGGACAATGAACAAGAGCTAGCAGAGGGCTTGTCCATCTAAGAAACAAGTAGCTTAAAAGAAGTTTAAATTCATAAATGTCGTTGATCTGTTATAATCCTTTAAATCCTTTTTAAAAAGTGGTGGCCTTTGTTAATTAAATGAAAGGAAATGCTTGCCAACTCAGTCACAGTAATAGAAGAGAGAATAAATGAAAGAGCTACTTTCACTATCCAAAATTTAAACCTCAGTATTTAGAGCAGTTCATTGTATTTTCCCCTAAATTAGAAAAAGAAAATGCTCTCAAATGGAAGCGAGATCAGGCTGCAAGGAGCTTTAATCCAAGGTCTCTGTGACATTTTAGGAGACGGTTTCTATTCATATTTCTCTGGCAAGAGTGGTCTAAGGCTTCAATCAGATTCTCCCAGTCACACTCCGCGTTACCAAGTAAGAAAGCTAGTAAATACTTCTTACTGGGCTGGTTTGAGAAAAACAAACAGTAGAGAATGGAGAAATTCACAAATTTCAAGGTGTATGGTGGTGGGTGGAATGGAAAGATAACAGACACAAAAACCTTTATACCCAGCTTTGAAAAGAAGGTAGTCCTTTGGAATATCTTTTAGCAAATTTGGCTGCAGATCCTATGAAAGTTTTCATTTGCAATTCTGATCTAACATAGAACATTCGGAGAAAAGAGTCAATATAGAATTCAAACTGAGTTGTAACCGATCAAAGGAGTGAACCTCACAGAACACATGATTAAATGATGAAAATGGACAGAGATATTAGGGATAAGAGGGTCTCCTTATCTCAGGACAATCTGTCCCCCAAAACAACCCTCTTACAGTTAATTACTTTTAATAGAGACCACATTTTTAAAGCTGTCAGTTTCAAAACAAACGTTCTCTTGGGCTCTTTCTAAAAAATGAAGCCGAAAAATTCAGAAAGTCTATGATCTTAAAGTCAACAGAAGTTAAAGGACAACTATAACTATAAACTAATTCTTAGTATGAGCAAAGAATCGCTGACATTCGTGTGCTGCTTTTCCAGCAAGGTTGTGAACTGGCACAGTACAACATCCTTTACACCTATATCAAACCACACCAACGCACTGCCATCAGTCCATGCTGACTCACAGCGACCCCCTGTGGGTTCCTGCAGAACTGCTGGTGGTTTTGAACTGATACCAGGCTGATCAGCGCAGCCCGATGCACAACCACTACATCACCAGGACTCCTATTCCCTACACGGTGTGATCATAAAGAAAAATTGTACAAAACCATCTAAGGGCTTCATCTATTTTCCTGAGGACCCCCTTAAAGCTTCACTGTCCAAATCATTTTTACCCCATCTTGTCAGTATCCTTGTGGATATTCTCTGCCCTAACGGTGCCAAATGCTCTTTTCTCCAGGAGCACTTGGAGCAGGTTTTCAAGAAACTCTCCATCCACTTCACAAAATCTCAGCTCTTCTACAAAGCTGGCTGCTTCACTCTCAAATGGACTTTATTGTTAGGGCATCAAGAAAATGGCTAACAAAAGACTGATGAGACAGAGAGAGATGCTAATTTGGGGCACAGTTGAGTATCATATAGATGAAGGACTAATTTTGTAATTAGGATTCATTACTATTCATTAGCAAATGAGGACGTTTGCTTCCCAAACATGATTACATCACTATGGGCTTCAGATAATAAAAACTGTACTTGAGTAAGGGCAGCATCCCTTCTTCATCTTCAACACCCCCCTATAATCACCCCCACATCGCATTGTCTCTTACCCAGTTTGTACTCATTGTTACAGCCTTGACGCCGTAAACGCCTAATCAGCTCCAGTTTGGCCAGATGTGGTCCTCGGAGGTGGCGGGCACTTCTAGATTCTTCTGTTATCCGGTCTTCTATAAACTGCACAGCTTCTTCAGTAGAATAATGTACTTCTCCTTCTAAAGAGCTGGGTTTAATCATGTGAAACAGATATGACTCTCTTGTATTTCTCAAAGCGTACAGTCAAAGCAAATTATTTTAAGAAACACAAAGTGAGCAAGAAATAACACTTTGGTATTAATTCAGTCACTAAGTAATACACATGGCATCAAACAGAATTATGACCATAATCCGGAAAACAACTAAGATTTACTCCCAATCGTGATGTAGTTGTTGCAGTAACTAACCACCTTTACCTGCTCCTTTTTCATAAAAGGATCATTTTGTGTCTATAAAATACTGCCGAAAACAAGAACATAGAGATCAGAAGTTTATTAGTAGCTACCAGCAGCAGAAGGGAGGGAGGAATGAGGAGCTATTCTTTAGTATATGTGCTGCCAAAGCGAGCACTGAGGAGCTATTCTTTAAGCAGCAGTGAGTTTGTTAAGGGTCATGAAAAACTTTGCCAACAGTGGTGACGGTTGCACAGCATGATGGCTAAAATGAATGTCTCTGAATTATACATGTGAAAATTATTAAAATGGCAAAAGTTTGGTTATATGTTGTTGCCACAACAAAAAAACTGTCTAAAAGAAGTAAACCTCATTTTTGCTTTAAGAACGAAGGCTAGAAAAAAATGAGAAGACTTCCTTAGTACTACGAATCAAGTAAGCATCAGCTCATAATTAACCTTGAATGTTATTCTAGTTACTTCTCAAACAGATGCTATTGAAGACTTTTGTCCTTAATGGCCAAACAAGAAAAGAAGAAAAAAATCCAAGTGCCTACGTGTCTATCAACGTGGACAGGTTCAACGACCCCCTAACAGAATACTGTGAGCCACTAAGAATAAAATAGAGGTGTAATGTACTACACATGGAGAGATGCCCAAGATATACTTCAGAGGGGAAAAAGAATCAAGTTTCAAACCAGCATGTCTGTATGATCCCTTTTTTTTTTTTCATAAATAATAATCATTACAATATGCTAGTACATGGACAGATATAATCCTGGAGGAATAAGACGTCACATTGTTATCAAGAGTCATTTCTGGGATGGTAGGATTACTGAGGGCTAATACTTTCTCCACCATAGGTTTCTGACCTGTTTTTATTTATAAGCAAAACAATAAAAGAATCTCTGACTCTGAAAGATACAGAAAACTGAAACAGAAAAAAGCATTCAGTGAGGCTCACAATGAAGTCCTTTTGCTATAGGTACCACACACGAAAAAGTGTCTTTGTCTATTTCAGTTAAAAAAGAGAGAGAAACACAACGGATTAAGCCACTGGTGAATCCCTTTGACCATGGACCAGGGCTATGAATAGTCTATCGTGCAGAAAGCAAGGTTAAGAGGTTTGTTCAAGCTACAGTTTATTTAGCACACTATCAGATAACCTTTATGATCCATTTAGATTTGTTTTAGTTTTAATTATTTTCTGCTTTCTTTGCGATAAAAGTTTTTATCTGTTTTACTTCAATATTGTTGTTAGTTTGGTTTCTCTTCTTTGTGAAATGTTTTTCTGTATATAAAATCCAGGACAGGTAAATCTATAGAGACAGTAACTGGACTAATGGTCCTTGGGGAAGTGTTGGGGATGGGATGGGGGTGGGGTGGGGTGAGGAATGGGGAGCTAATAACAAGTAAAAGGATGAAGGAAATGTTTTAAAACGGAGTGTGGTGATGACTGCACAACTCTCCTTGATGTGACTGAACTACTGAACTGTCTGACATGTGAATCATGTGCCAATGGAATTGTGGTTTTTTAAGTGCCTTTGTAATTCAGGAAAGAAGACAACTTACTGTTCACCTTCAGCGGGAGGGGTCCAGGCCTCTTCAATCAGTTGAAAGACAGAATCGAAGTAAGTCAAATAGAACTGCCAGTCATCTGAGCTGAAAACAAATTGAGTGACGCACACAGGGTTAAACCAAAGCTGACGACCAGCCTTGCGAGCAGGTGGCGTGAAGTTGGCGCCGACTCTAACGTCGTAGTGACCCCAAGTAAAACAGAAGAAAGACTGCCTGGTCCTGGGTCCTCCTCACAACTGCCGTGCTGTGTGTACCCGATGTTGTAGCTCGGTGACAGCCAACCTATTCTCGCCATCGTGCCATCATCTTACAAGGACCCCTTCCACCAGGGCAACCATTCAGAGGCAACAGAGCACGCTTCCCTTCAATAAAATGGTCAGATCTCAAAAAATAATATTCTGAGGGAAAAAACTCCTAAATCGGGGTTGGGGGGTTGGGGGTGGCCAAAAAAGACAGGGCAAGTGGGAGTAGCAATATGAGGGTACAGAGATGGTGAGTGGGTAGGGGGAACCCATCGCAAGTTTGGATATATAGTCCCTCCCCACAAGGGGACAAATAACAGAAAGGTTTAGTGATGGGAGACAACGGACAGGGTAAGACACAAGATAACAACAAATAATTGATCAAGGATTCACGAGGGTGGAAGAGACGGGAAAATCAGTTGAAAGACAGAGGAGCATGGCTCAAGTAGAAAGAATTTGTTTTGGAAATGTTGGTGGCAACATAGAAACAAGTGTGTTTAATACTACTGAATGATGGATTGTTATAAGATTTTGTAAGAGCACCCCCCCCCACCATAAAATATTTTTTAAAAAGACTCTTTTACACGAGTGAATTTAATGAATAAATAATCTCCAGTTTATAATCTAATCTGAAGAAGTGATAAACAATTAGGGCTGTTGTAGCAGAAGTATCATTTTACTCTTTACTAAAAGATAAATAACTGTTCATTGAAAACTGTAACTTGAAGGACAAGATGCAAAAGATGTGCAGTTGACCCTTGAACAACATGGATTCCAACTGTCTGGGGTTCATGTATACACAGATAGCCCGCCCACCCATGGTTACTGTGGTGAACTCAGTTGGTGCAAGTCACCAATTTAAATGCTACACAGCGTTAATCATCTCCGTGAGGGCAGTATGTTGCTCGGTGCATGTTCACAACACTTGAGCTCACTATGTGGCGGCGGCGGCGGCGGCTGCTACTAGATGTACTACTGCTACGAGTCAGTTCCAACTCATTGAGACCCTAGGCATTAACAGAACAAAGTACTACCATCCTCACAATTGTTATGTTTGAGCTCAGGCTGCAAAGCCATTATATCATCTAGCTCCTGGGGGGTCCTTTCCTCTTTGTCACCAAGATTCTACTTTATCCTCACTGCTAAGGAGCACCAGGCTGTACTTCTTTCAAGACAGATTTGCTTGTTCTTCTGGCAGTGGAATTTTCACCAACACCTTAATTCAAATGCATCAATTCTTTGGAGGTTTTCCTTATTCACTGCCCAGCTGTCACATGATACAAGGCTACTTGAAAACACCAAGCCTTAAAAAAAAAGAAAATACCAAGTCTCGGGTGGAGCATGCCTTAGTCCTTAAAGGGACCCCTTTATTGTTTAACTGTCTGTCTGTCTGTCTATCTATCTATCTATGTTTAACACTTTAATCTGTGCAGCAGATTCACTCAAGATTTCCTGTTTGATGTTTCATGAAAAGTAATTATAAATGCAAGTCAAACGAATCTTTGAAAACTTGTCCCATAAGTAAATGCAGGTCTTAAAAGCTTTGTGCCAACATGTCACTAAGGTAATCTCTACTTTGAGGAGGTAGTTCTTCCTCACTCCTACTTTGGGTACCTTCCAATGTGCGGGCTCACCTGCCAGCACAAGTTCAGACGGTGTTCCACTGCTGTTCATAAGGTTTTCGGTGGCGAATCCCTCAGAAGTCAACAAGCATTCCTTCTGTCTAGTCTGTCTTAGACTGTAAGCTCCACTGAATCCTGTCCACTACAGGTGATCCTGCTAGAAATATCAGTGGCATAGCTTCCAACACTACAGCGACACACAAGGCACCACAGTGCAATAAAGCAAGAGACAGGAGCTCAGTGAAATAGTGCAGTGCACACTTGTGCTATGCCAGGTCAACTGTAAACTGTACATGAGCTTTTCGACTGTGTGGGAAGTTACAACACTCTTGGCCCCACATTGTTCAAAGGTCAACTGTCCAGTAGTCTTAAAAGCTACATAGAACTACACAAAACACCAACAGTGAGTTCTTAAAAACTCCACACCAGTCATCGTCCAAGCAGAGCTTCTACTCACTTTTTCAGGAGAAGGCGCCTAGACAAGGCATTGCACTCTGGCCACCGGCTCAGCTTCTTGTACATAGCCATGCACTTAGTTTCCCGACACTGAATTTCACTGGTCAGCTTCTCTACAGTTAAAAGTGGGAAATGGCTTTCATTTCTGCTCAAAAAAACTGAGTAAGGTCCAATCAAAAGGAAGATGCCTCCTATTCAGTCTCAGAAATGAGCCACTATCAGACACAAATGACTTATTAGAGATTATTTTGCTGAGGGGAGGTGGAGTGTGTGTACACACACAACTCTGATAATAAACTTTATAATCACTTTTGCTGTGAGATACAAAGGCTACACAAGGTGTTGAACTAAAGATCTGGTATGTGCGATACACTGAGTACCCTGAAGAACATTTGTTACTGTTGATGTGTGTCATCAAGTCGATTTTTGCTCATAGTGACACAGGTGATGCTAGAGACCTGCCCCATAGAGTTATCTACATCACAATCTTTACGGTAGGAGATCACCACATCTTCCTCCTTAGAGCCACGGGGTAGGATTTAAACTGCCAACCTTTCTGTTAGCAACTGAGTAGCTAACTGTTGTATCACCAGGACTCCTGAAACAACATGTAAGATCGACTTCCCATTCATAAGGTGAGATGTGAGGAGAATGATTTTAAAAGAGCTGTGATAAATCAAACTCTTCCCAAACAGTTCAGAATAGAAAAACCAGAACTATAGTTCTAGCACTAAACTGCTAAGCAAAAGGTCAACAGTTCAAAACTACCAGTCACTCTAGTGGAAACAGATGTGGCAGTCTGCTTACAGCCTTTGGATACCATAGGGGGCAGTGCTACCCTGTTCTATACAGGTTGGAATGAACTGAAAAGCAAGGGGTTATAATGACCAAATGAGATTTACTCTGTCCTTTTACAACAGCTTCACAGACAAGGAATACTAAACATTACATGAAGAATTGTTTGTAGGAAATCTAAATTTCACTATCCGCAGAAGATCATTCTAGCTATGAAAGGGGGGGTGGGGGGGCAGATGTGTATTCATCTGTACGGATGCTTATGTTAGAGAGTAAATCTCATAAAAGATCTCCTGTATTTTACAAAATGAAATAGTTATCTGTCAATTGGTGTTGTAGCTTTATTTTATGACTGTATATAGTTTAGTCCAGTGGTTCTCAACCTTCCTAATGCTGCGACCCTTTAATACAGTTCCTCATGTGGTGGTGACCGCCCCCAACCATAAAATTATTTTCGTTGCTACTTCATCACTGTAATTTTGCTACTGTTATGAATCCTCATGTAAATATCTGATATGCAGGATATATTTTCATTGTGACAAATTGAACATAACTAAAGCATAGTGATTCATCACAAAACAATATGTAATTATATATTATGAAATATTTATTTCTAATGATAAATAAATGAAATATTTTGTCTTGAAGCATGGTGTAGCATGGGTAAGTAACGGTCTTCACGCCGATACTCGTAGGTGGGCGTATCTGCATGTGGGCGGACCTGCCTGGAGACAGGTGTCTCCGTTCCTAAGACCATCAGAAATGCGTTTTCTGATGGTCTTTGGTGACCCTGTGAACGGATCGTTCTACCCCAAAGGGGTCACAACCCACAGGGTGAGAAATGCTGGTCTAGTCAGTCTTTTTAATGATCTAACTAATTAAAGATCTGAGGCAACTATGCTACAGCTACATCCTCCCACTGAATACATAGGTACCTTTAAAAAACAAGCTTTCCTCCAAACAGTAATGGGACTTGCAGGAATCCCTCCTAAGAAAGTTGTAAAGGATGCCCAAATATTTATGAACTCGAATCTTTGTCATAAGTGCCCAAAATGGGAGAGTGATTAAGTTGATTTATTTTCCAACACAAAAAGGTGAAGGAGTAATTTGAAATCGATGGAAAAGATCTATTTTGATAAAATATTAAGTGGTCTTGCAAATCAGTAAGAAAAAAACTAACCAAACTCTTAAAAAGAGGAAAATGGCAATTTCAAATAAAAAAGTATACTAAATCATTGCTAAGGCTTAAACAAACAAACAAACAGTGTAAGATTATCCCACTTCATAATCAAAGAAATGAAAAAAACTGTAAGGAGTTTCTTTTTTTAATCAGATCTAAAAGCAAAACAGTTTGATAATATTGTTTGAAGTCTGATGGGGAGAAATCTCTTTTACATGTTCAGAGTAGATGCAGCATGGTGTGTCTCTTTGAGGGTAATGTGGTTTCTGGCAAAAAAATGTTTCTTACAAGAGGGACTGGTGACATAAATTCTCTATATTAAATATTGGGCAGTAGAGAACCAGCTATGTTTCCACACTAAAATTATAACATATTGATACACGTTAACAAACAAAAATGAGTATGACAAGGTCTATTTGTATCTACAGTTCATACCCTGGCCAGAGGCACTAATATTCACAATTTTAAAAATTGTTTTTCAATCTTAGAAAAATAAAACCCTGCCCATTGAGTAAGATCACTCTATGGGCCAGCTGTGCGGGTACATGTTGCAGCTTCCAGAGACATGCAGTAGAAGAGATGCACAACTGACTGAAGAAGACCCTGAGAAGGAGGGAGCTAGGGGGTCTCATGTATGATTCTTCACACTCCCTGAATTTTCAAAAGCTATGAATTATTTTTATTAGAAAATATTAAAAAGTGTCAAAATACAGAAGAGTCTGGGGAAAATGTAGCAAGTTGATTACAAGTGACTTACTATAGCTTTTTGTTTGTATGACGAAAACAGTTTTAACAATTTACATGTGTCATGCTTACTTAAACAGGATGGGGGACAGAAATCTAAGAAAACTTTAAGAATTACCTCCTAACTTCCCTCGGATGACATCCAAGGCTTCCTGGTATTTTCCCAAACGTTCCAGGATCATATAATAAAGTTCAACCTTACAGGAAAAGAAAAACAAGAAATAAACTCTTTAATCATCAAAAGCCATTCATTTATGCATATGTTTTTAAAAGTTATCTAAATAGAAAGCAACACTTTTTTCAAAAGAGATGAGATTTTAACCCAGTTTGTCTAGAGCAATGGTTCTCAACCTTCCTAATACCACGACACTTTCATACAGTTCCTCACATGGTGGGGACCCACCAACCATGCAATTATTTTCACAGTTGTGATACTTCACAACTGTCATTTTGCTACTGTTATGAATCGGGTGACTCCTGTGAAAGGATCAATCAACCCCCAAAGGGGTCTTGACCCACAGGTTGAGAACCACTGGTCTAGAGGAATTGCCAGAAGCAGCCCTCTCTAAATGGGAGGCTCCCAAAGTCCACCCAAGGCTCTCTTAACTGGAAGAGAGCATCAGTTCACACTCAGAATCGTGCAAATACACGGGAAGGTTTAAAAGACTCACTTCAGCCTCGGCTTCTATCTTGTCCTCTTTCACCATTTTTTCTACCATTCTCTCAGCAAGGGGTAGAAACATTGTTTTTGAAAGGTTCTCATCCTGAGCCGATATGGACTGGAGGAGGGGGGTGGGAAAAAAAAAAAATCAACATTTCATTTTCATTCCTTCTGTTACACTGTCTGCACTGACCGTGTAGATCATCTCTTGCCCCCAGCACACAATGATCAATCCACTATGTCAAACAGACTTCATCTGAACCTAGCAGCCATATGAATGGTTTCTTTACAAGAAGTTTCTTTCCTAAAGCGCTTATGCGTTCCTGAAATACCAAGCTTGCACAATATGACCCAAACTTTTAATTTAAGTTACACACATTTTTCTAGGAATAGACACTGTGTCTATGCATCAGATGTTTGAAAAGCCTTTTATCTATAGAAGGGAAATGCAAATTCCTTCTAATTATACAACTTCCTATTACCTATAGTAACCTTGGACTGACAATTAAAATTAATAAGTAATATTAATAATTTTAATGTTGCCAGGTATTCTGCTCAGATCTTGAAACACATCGTTTAAACCAGAGGTCCTCAAACTTTTTAAACAGGGGGCCAGTTCACTGTCCCTCAGACCGATTGGAGGGCCGGACTATAGTTTAAAAAAAAATATGAACAAATTCCTATGCACACTGCACATATCTTATTTTGAAGTAAAAAACACGGGGCAAAAACACCCGGCAGGCCGGATAAATGTCCTCAGTGCGCTGCATGTGGCCAGCGGGCCGTAGTTTAAGGACCCCTGTTCTAAACCTTTGACTATAATCCTTCAAGGTAAATATTAGGGTTCTTTTACAGATAGAGAAGCAAAGTTTAGTAAATTCCCCCAACAGTTGTTCAAGACATACAAGGAGGTACCCTCTCAAAACCTGGAATTTCCCCCAAAAGCTACTTATTTAAATTTTTTTACAAATCAACCTTATCACCTTCAAAGTACTCCCCACTCCACTTAATACATTTATCAAATCTGTGATTCCATTCTTGGAAACATTTTTCAAAGCCGTCTGTTTGGACGGCTGACAGCACCTTCCGTGGGTTTTTCTTCACCTCTTTTACATCTCAAACAGCTGTTCTTTCATGTCCCTCTGCATTCACAGAAACAAAAAGAAGTCGCATGGAGGGAGGTCAAATGAGTAAGATGTGTGGGGCAAGAGAGGCATGCTGTTTTTTGCCAAAAACTGGTGCACTGAGATGGCTGCATGAGCGGGTGCATTATCGTGGTGGCAAAACCAGTCCCCCGTCTGCCACAAATCAGGCCCTTTTTTGTCACACACTGTTACACTATCTTTTCAGAACCTCTAAATAGAAAGCATGATTAACAGTCTGACCTTGTGGAATTAACTCCAAATGCACTATGAGTTTCTTTGGGTAGTTGACGGGTGTCCAGAACAAAGTTTGACATCAATTGACATTTCACCTTTTTTGAAATGAGAAAAACACTTGTACACTTGAGTATTCCCCATAATGCTATCTTTGTAAGCTGTGTTCAACATCACAATAGTTTCTGTACCATTTTTCACGGCAGGAAACAAAATTGCAGTCGCAAGGCTGTTCTCTTAAATCGGCCATCACAAAAAACGCGGTTCAAGCAAAACTGCTTTTACGAAAAATTCACTGTGATCAAAGAGAACCACCCCAGGTTCTCTTTGGGTGCACTAACTCAGAGTGAGTTGTTCGATGTTCCCTCCCCTAGAGGGAAAAATGCATACTATGAAAGTTCCACCCAGCAGCTTTTCAAAAATACTGCTGCACAAAAATGTATTCCAAAGCTACAATACTTAAAATACAGTGAAACAAATTCAAACACGGTCTGTTATCCGTGGAGCAGAATAGCCCTTTTTATTCAACCTTCAGAAAAATGGGCATCCAGTAAATTTCATTCTTTTGTAAATGTAATTCTGATTAGCTTGTTCAATAAGACAAAAATGCATGGGGAAAAAGCGTAGGCAAACATCCTGAGCCATTGAGAAAGAAAAGGAAGGTTCAGCAAATAGTGTTGGGATTATCTTTGCTTGAGTTTCAAAACCAGATATTTTCTCTAATTAGCAGTTTCCCGGGTACCTGTCTAACCCCAGATCTTCTGTTCTTAACCACTATATACAAGGGATTCCCTCTGCCTCAAAAAATGGGAAAAAACTCCACTGGGCGGAGCTTTTTTAGTATGCATTTTTCCCAGTTAGGTGCTATTGTTATAAATCAGATAACCCCCATGAAAGGGTCATTCAACCCCCAAAGGGGGATCGCGACCCACAGGTTGAGAACCGCTGGCTTCTAAGAACAACGCAACGCTATGGGAAAAACTCAAATGTATGAATGGTTTTTCTCATTTAAAAAAAGGTGAAATGTCGATTGATGACAAACCTTGTTCTAGATTTCCCTCAACTTCCCAAACGGACAAAAATGTCAACAAAACTCATTTTTTTGTGCTCAAAGACCAACAACAGACCACTGAAGAGATGGGGAAGTGATCTGGACTATCCTGGAGCATGGTTCAGCAAATTGTAATGGATGATTGGGGAATGAGAAGGGTCGCTGCAAAATTTGTGCCTCGGGTTTTGACTGATCAGGAATACGCGCTTCAAGTGGAAATATGCCATGCTTTGAAAGAACAGCTCCTAAGCAACTGTTTATTAAGGTCATTACTAAGATCATTACTGACAACTAGACATGGCAATATTCTTTTCTTCTTTTATGGTGTCTTTCTTATGACCCCAAAAGCAAACAGCAACCAAGCCAGTGGAAGACACCATTATCACCTTGCTCCAAAAAAAGCTCATAAAGTGAAACCAAAGATCAAAACCAGGCTCATTTGGTTTTTTTGGAGTGCATTTGGAGTTCGGTCCATGAGTAAGACTGTTACCAAGCTTTCTATTTAAAGGTTCTGACAAGATAGCGTAACAATGTGAGACAAAAAGGCCTGACTTTGCCACCACAACAATGCACCTGCTCATGCAGCCATCTCAGTGTGCCAGTTTTTGGTAAAAAAAACAGCATGCCCACACACCTTACTCACCTGACCTCCCTCCATGGGACTTCTTTTTGTTTCAGCAAATGAAAAGGGACATGAAAGGAGAGCAATTTGGTGATGTAGAAGAGGTGACGAAAAAAACAAGGAGGTGTTGTCAGCCATCCAAACAGATGAGTTTGAAAAAATGTTTCCAAGAATGGAATCAGACTTGACAAATGTATTAAGTGTAATGGAGAAGATGATAAGGTTGTTCTGTAAAAAAATTTAAATATATAGCTTTGAAGAAAAAAATTCCATGGGGAGGGGTGGGGTAAACCCTCGTATGACTTCTTCTCTACTTTTCCATACACAGTATCTCATTTTGGTCCTCACAGTAGCTCTGGGAGATGAGCATCTCTAGTCTACAAAAAAGCAAACAGGCTCAAAAGGGCAAAGTGATAAAATAAGTTCTCTATCTGTTCACTACAACCAAGAGTATTTTTCTTAAAAGGCAAACATGAAGTCAAAACATCTCAGACATCCTGGGGATCACATTTGCTTAAACAATCTAACAAAGGAGCCCAAATCCAGGGGAAATGCAGTCCATGTTGTTCATACGAGCAACCCAAATAGGAATTCAGAGCAAAAAAAATAACCCTCAATTCAGAAAGGCAATGACAGTAGGTGAAGTCCTCCTTTGACAAATGCTGCAGTGCATTACCTAAGAGAGGGCCAGATTAAAGAGGGTGTCTTAACTATATAACAAGATGGAAACAAATCTCAATCCCATTTTGAATGCCATACTCACTTGCATAATTAAGCTCATCACAGACCAAAAGTAGTAAGGGTTTTTGGGGACAATCTTATACAGAGCCATGCCAGCCTGAAAGACAGAGATAGCCAAAACACTTCATTTAGAAAACATTGTTCAGAGGACAAATGAGTGAGCTAGACGAGTGACAAGTCATTCCCTGGAGAAAGCAGATCATTTACATATCCCACTAGTGTGGGTGCCTGGGGACTCGCGGGATGCAGCAACAGAGGTCTTCAGGGAGGTAAGCCTCTCCACATTGTGAGCAATAGTCACCCTATGAACCAGATATTTCCAGAACATTCTAGTATTCTGGTGTTCCTAGTGGACTACCCAGCAAACTCGAATTTATATGTGTGTGTGTCTCATGAAGGCACACCAATATGCAAATATTACAGGAAATCCCACACTAACCAGTTATAGTAAACCAGATACACCCCCCCAAATCACACAATTATATTTAGACGTCAACATTTAAAAGATGATTACAATAAAACTAAAAGATTAATGCTTGGGTTTTTAAAAATCTGTGTCGTCTCCCCAACATACCCACCACATACCAATAACATTATTGTAAAATATGGGTGTGGCAAGAAGGAAAAAAATAGATCTGTTCACCCAAAACTGCTAATCTATACAAAATTAGCCTCCACACAGAT